TAAAAATGGGTTAATTTAAGATAAAAGAACAGTTAGCAGGAAGCCTGCCACGGCCATACAGTTTATAAGTGATATAAGCGTCTGAGTGATTATTTTATAAGTGGATTGTGGGACTGCGGGGCCTGGGGAACCTGGAGAGAAGCCCTCCAGCTACAATACTATCTAAGGATGAGTTCCTTGTCCAAAAACTCTGCCTGCAGCTGAACATCTTATATGCAAATCAAAAAGGTTAACCTTTGGAAAACCTACTGCTATCTTCTCCCTCACCACCTGTCCCATCTCCTAACCTACGAGGATCCCCAAACACTACCCACCTCCTCAGTTCTCTCCCTTCAGGTAGCATTGGTAGAGGATGCTCTCCTTACCTGTCAGCCATGCCCATGTCTCAACATCGCATAATGGCTCACGTTGTTGATGTGACTGTCTTAAGGTGTGTACAGATCAATTGTTTATGCAGGTTTCTGCCACTCATCATGTTTGATTCCAAATCCTTCAGCTGCTTCTTCTTCCACCTGCTCTAACCATCCATCTCTCCTTGCTTACTTGATAAATGTCTTCTCTCTGGCTCCTGGAGCCTGCTACACCCTCCAGGGCCCCACCGCGTGGGCAACTTTCTAGTTACTAAGACACTTACTCCTCTCCCTCTATTGGAACCCCCCCTGTTTTCTGGCCTCCTGGCCTCCTCTCCCTGGGAGCTGCCTGCTAAGCCCCGCAGCTTCCTTCAGCCCATCGGGGCCTCAGTGACCTTCTCCCTCCTGTCTCTCATCTCCTACTTGGAGCTCATAGAAACTCCCTCCAGCGGAATTCATTTTTGCGACCCGTCCTCTCTTCCTCCACGGACTCTGATTTTATTAAAACCTTGCTCTGATGTTAGCACAGTTCAAACGGCCAAGGTTGGCATGCTCCATTTTCAGTGATGACAACTTCTGCCACTGCACAAATGACCCAAAACTCTTTTTTTTTATTTAAAAGTTTCCTTTTCCACTTTTACATACCAACCACAGTTCCCCCTTCTTTCCTTCCTCCTGCTCACTCCCAACCTTCCCCCCACCCCCTCCCCCATCCACTCACAGAAAGGGTAAGGCTCCCATGGGGAGTCAACAGAGTCTGGAATATCAAGTTGAGGCAGGACCAAGCCCTTACCCCCTGTATCAAGGTTGAGCAAGGCATCTCTCTGTAGGGAATGGTCTCCAAAACGTCAATTCATACACAAGAGAACATGAGAGAAAAGGATGGTCAAGTGGGACCAGAACTAATCCAAAAATCTTTCATATCTAAACTTGCTTTCTCCTCTTTTTTTTTTTTTTTTTTTTGGTTTTTCGAGACAGGGTTTCTCTTGTGTAGCTTTGCGCCTTTCCTGGAACTCACTTGGTAGCCCAGGATGGCCTACGAACTCACAGAGATCCACCTGCCTCTGCCTCCCGAGTGCTGGGATTAAAGGCATGCGCCACCACCGTCTGGCGCTTTCTCCTCTATTCTTATCTACACCTGTCTGGTATAGCTCTTCCAAATGGATGTTTATCTTCCAAGAGACCCCCACCTCTAACCAACAGCCTGTCCTAATAAGGTCTGGAAATTGCTCTCTGTCAGGCTGACAAAGGCTAACTCGGTGCCCTATGCCTCCCTTATCCATCTCTCCTTCGCCGGGGCTTAGCCCCAGTACCTGTTTTCTCTATTTTTGTATGATAATTCCTGTCTTAGAAACAAAAGCCACAAAAAACGGGATTCACGATAAGATTAAAAAACAATGCTTGGCCGGGCAGTGGTGGCGCACGCCTTTAATCCCAGCACTTGGGAGGCAGAGGCAGGTGGATCTCTGTGAGTTTGAGGCCAGCCTGGGCTACCAAGTGAGTTCCAGGAAAGGCGCAAAGCTGCACAGAGACACCCTGTCTTGAAAAACCAAAAAAAAAAAAATGCTTGTTTCATAAAGTATAAGAAGGCACGTACGTGAAAGTCTGAGGTATAAGAAAGTGATTTAGGGTGGTGGAAAATGGTCCAGATTTCTTTCCCCATTGATGCTATTTTTCTAGTGGTTAGTCAGCTCACCAGCAGGGAGCTGTGTATCCTTGTAACACCTTAATCATCTTCTAAAACACCTGCCCCCTATGCTTGCTTTCTCTGTAATTAAACTAGAGATTACCGTTGACAGTGGCCAGAGACTTAGAGTGGCTGTCCTGATTGGCCCTATAGGAAACATGGTGCATATTCAGGAGGCACTCTACCTTTTATGCAGAATGGGGAATTTTTATATTCTAATTAAGGACCCCTGGCACCCCAGATGGGAGAAGGGGTCGTTGGTAAACTTTACTATGGCATTTATCATAGCTTCCCATCAGGCATGCTCAAAACACAGAGGGTCCACATCCCACTCTCTCCAACCCCAAGGTATAGACACGGTAGAAATGGTTCAAAGCTCCTCAAGGGTCCTTACATGCAGCCGGGTGGTGGTGGTGGTGCACAGCTTTAATCCCAGCACTTGGGAAGCAGAGGCAGGAGGATCTCTGTGAGTTCAAGGCCAGCCTGGTCTACAGAGCGAGTTTCAAGACAGGCTCCAAAGCTACACAGAGAAACCCTGTCTATGAAAAAAAGAGGGGCCCTTACATCTCTAATATCACCCTTTATTTGATATTGATCCTGCCTCCCTGTCATACCATCTCATTTCAGACCTTAACCTCTACATATCAACTATTGAATAACACTTTGCCTGACCACCTTGAAGAATACTGGTTGTGTGTCCTTCCTGGGTCAAACTCACAGCCACCATTTGTGACATCACCCATTGTCTTATAGATTCTCTCATCTTGCTACTTGTTAATTGCTCTGAGCCAAATATCACTACCACCCCTTATCTCTCCCACATCTCTCTGGTATCACAGAGTGCTTTAACTCCTCAGGAACACACTTTGTGGGCACCCTGGATTCCACAGGCTGCAATAATACCATAACCCTTGGTACCACCACCCAGCCCCTAGGTCTGGACATTTGCAGTGCCTCTGTTCTCTATGACACTCAAGTATACCCCTGCCTACCCACTAGGTGGTCTGGGACTTGTGCCCTGGTGTTCCTTTTTCCAAGGCTATGGGTGGTACCCAGTGAGGAACCCTTGCCACTTCCCATCCCTGGGTTTATGGCAACATGGCCTGACAGATGAACACTTCAGGTCACCCTCTCTAGCAGCCCTGGCCATAACCACTGGTGTCACCACCAGAGAGGCAGGACTGACTACCTCCCCAGTTATTTACCATCAGCTTTCCTCTCGAGATTCATCCAGGATCTCCAATGGGTGGCTCAGATCATCCTAACCCTCCAGGGCCAAACAGACTCACTGGCCACTTTAGCGCTACAAAATTAGTGATTAGATTTACTAACAGCAGAGAGAGGTGGTCTTTGTCTCTTCCATGGGGAGGAATGTTGCTTCTATGTTAACCAATCAGGTATAGTAAAAGACATGATCCAACAACTCCAGACCGATCTTCAAAAAAATGTAAGAAACAGCTTGATGTCTCTGGCCAGTGGATCACTGAAAGTCCAATATGGAACTGGATGCTGCCCTTCTCACCCCTATTCTCATTTTCTTAATCCTGCTAGTTGCAGCCTGCCTTATAAGCTTCTTGTCTAGATTTCTTTAACCACAGATCCAAAAGATTTCTGACCAGGCTTTTAACCAGTTACTATTACAGGATTACCAGCCCCTAGCTATGGAGCCAGAGGTCTGCCTCACCCAGTTACTTCCTGATGATGATCAGGATTGCCCCCAAGGACCTCGATGCCCCCAATCAACAGGAAGTAATCTAATGGTAATGTCACCACCCTTTCCAACCCCCCATCATTTATTAATAAACAGAAAATGGGAGGAATGTGGAATGAAAAGGGCCAAGGAAAAAACATCCTTGAATATGCCCCTGAATAGACCTGAGACCTGGTCCAAGGAAAAACACCCTGACCTTGACTTGACTCCAGGACCACGGCTTGAAATCCCAATCCCTGAGCATGCCAGAGTCAGACTACAAAAATTCCACCAATCCCAAACCACCCTGGGAAGCTCCACCACCACCCACAAGAAATCCTATGTAAGCTCTGTATCCTGTTCAGTTTGCTGCTGTTTCTCACTTTAGAGGCAGCTACCCTCCTGGATTTTTCCTTCCCAATAAATCTCTTGAGTGAGGTTTGTTGTTGTTCTTTGTGACACTTGCATTGGAGTGGACCCCAGCTGTTTCAACTTGTACCAGAGCCGGAGCAGAACTGTAACAGTTTCTCTGGGGAAACTTTCCCCTAGGGAACCAGAGTTGTTACACTCCTGGGGGGCCTGAGCAGAGCTGTCACACTTGCATTGGGAAAACCTTTCCCTGGAGCAGAGCTATGAGCTGCTGCGCTTACAGTGACTTTGTGGTACTCCTTGGCTCCCAACTCCCAGCATCCCTTTCCACCTGAGCTGCACTGCTTGCAATGAGTTTCACATCTACCCAAACACAAGCCAACCTCATAGGATACGCAACAGTTATGAATAGATAATACTCGATTTACCTACTGACAAGCTCAGCCTAGTCTTTGGAACACACTGGTCTTTTGATCCCTGAGGGATGTAAGTATGTGCCCGAACTGCAAGAACGACTGGGGTCCCCTGGATTGTGAGGTCCCAACCTTTCTCCCAGGGCTGCCACTTATGCCTCGCTATGTTTCTTCCTGAAGAACCCAGTTTGCTGTCCTGAAAAGACAGCTGTATGGTGTTGACCACACAGAATTCTTTATCATGAGATTTGGCCAGCACTTCCAAGGCCTGCATCTTCCTCCTGTGTAGGAGCTGGGGTTTGGCTTCTGCCAGCAGATCCTGGTCCAAAACCCTTGCTTGTCCCTTCAGGAAAGAATTTTCCCACAGGAACTGAGGTTCTGCTTCCCTTTCTTTGGAGGCTTTCAGGACTTCCAGCTTGGCCTGGCCTGGTGGCGCAGGTTTCAGCTCTTCTCCGGGCGCCTCCTCTCTAACTGGTGTGGGGCACACTATCTGCACTGGATGTTTGGAATGGGGCTTGATCTTCTTGCCCTGCAGAAAGGTGTTTTCTTCAAGAGGTGCAGCGTGTCTGCGGGATGTGTAAAGTCCTCGTGGTTGTCTGGGTCCTCCTGCATGCCCTTCTTCCTCCAGATGGCCCCACCTCAGATCCTCCAGGCTCTGTTGCTGTTTCTTGCTTGGGTGTTTGGTATTCACGGCCACCTCTTGCTCCAAGAACTGCCTGGTGTCGGCTGGGTTTGGGGCTTTTTCTGTTCGCTTTCTGACCTTGTTAAGCAACGCCATTGTTCTCCTTTTCGCCTGGGCCTCCCATGTTGTGGCTGCTTCAGAACTGTTCTCCAGCAAACCCTTGTCCCCAGCAAATGTCCACCTGTGCTCCTGGCCTTTGGCAGAGTTCCCCCGAGGGACCCTTTTGGAAACCATGTACAGACAAACATCAGGGTCAGAGAAATGGCCCCGGTTAACAGAGCTTGCAAGTTGTGGAAGATGTTCTGGTTTCTTCTTGACAAGAGAAAGGTGAGGGAGCTCTTCCAGGCTAGGCTGCTCATCACCCAGACTCCTCCTGCTGGCTGGGATAGCCCTGAGGAATTTAATCTCCTGGGCTGTCAAATAAACCCTAGTAGCAGGGCTAAGGGCTTGTTCCACTAATCCTTCATGAGTCCCAGGGTATTGAAGTCTCCTGCTTTTCGGAAAGTGGGAGACCAACCCTTGGGAACTCATTCCTCCTCTCACCAGAACTTTACCCTTCCTAGGTCCTACCCTGAGATCAGTAGACCTCTCTTAGCTACAGACTCTCTCTCTCTCTCTAATGCAACTCCAATACAAGTCACTACTCAGCACAGTTCCTCCAACCTCTGGTATCCACATTCTACTGCTGCCCCCAGGGGTTTAAGGACTAAAGGGCCCTCTGACTATGGTCCAGAATGTTGGGGTTACCTGTCTCTTTATGATGTAGTGGGCGGAGCTAGAGGGAAGATGGCCGTAACTCGGGCTGAGCCCAGTATTGATGAGTGTTCCGGCGCCTGCGGCCTCTGTCACTTCAGATGTTAAGAATGGCAACACTGAGAAAAACCACCCACAGCTGCAAGGGCCTGGGTTTGCTATGAGTGGGTGAGAGGTGGCCTGTGACAGTCAGGGACCAGGAAGAGAGGTCTCCAGGGAGTTAGAGGGCCCATGAGCTGACGTCCTGTGGCTTGCCACCAACACCGGCTCCTTCTGCTCTGCATAGCTCCTCGTCAAGGAATAAAACAACACTCACTTCAGAGAACCAAAGGGGGAGGTTTATTCTAGAATCAAATATGAATGACCATAATCCAGAAACACCCATTTTGGCTTCCCCAAATATCATTTGCCAATGAAGTAGCCATTTCATGATGTTTTTACGGAAACAGAACAAAGAAGATCAGCAGTCAAGATACTTTCCAGCCGGGCGGTGGTGGCGCACGCCTTTAATCCCAGCACTCGGGAGGCAGAGGCAGGCGGATCTCCGTGAGTTCGAGGCCAGCCTGGGCTACCAAGTGAGTTCCAGGAAAGGCGCAAAGCTACACAGAGAAACCCTGTCTCGAAAAACCAAAAAAAAAAAAAAGATACTTTCCAAACACACTGATGGAAACAGCAGGTGGGCACAGGACAGCAAAGCACAGAAATCTCTGCTCCAAGCCTCAGAGGCTGCTAGAAAGGGTGCCCTGAAGTGTTCATCTGTCAGGCCGTGCTACTATAAACCCAGGGATGGGAAGTGGCAAGGGTTCCTCACTGGGTACCACCCATAGCCATGGAAAAAGGAACACCAGGGCACAAGTCCCAGACCACCTAGTGGGTAGGCAGGGGTATACTTGAGTGTCATAGAGAACAGAGGCACTGCTAATGTCCAGACCTAGGGGCTGGGTGGTGGTACCAAGGGTTATGGTATTATTGCAGCCTGTGGAATCCAGGGTGCCCACAAAGTGTGTTCCTGAGGAGTTAAAGCACTCTGTGATACCAGAGAGATGTGGGAGAGATAAGGGGTGGTAGTGATGTTTGGCTCAGAGCAATTAACAAGTAGCAAGGTGAGAGAATCTATAAGACAATGGGTGAGGCCACAAATGGTGGCTGTGAGTTTGACCCAGGAAGGACACACAACCAGTATTCTTCAAGATGGTCAGGCAAAGTGTTATTCAATAGTTGATATGTAGAGGTTAAGGTCTGAAATGAGATGGTATGACAGAGAGGCAGGATCAATATCAAATAAAGGGTGATATTAGAGATGTAAGGACCTCTGAGGAGCTTTGAACCACTTCTACCGTGTCTATACCTTGGGGTTGGAGAGAGCGGGATGTGGACCCTCTGTGTTTTGTGCATGCCTGATGGGAAGCTGTGATAAATGCCATAGTAAAGTTTACAATGACCCCCGTTTTAAGGTTGGAGAAAGCCTGCTAAGTTAATACGTTATGAAAATTCACTTTATAGCCACAAGGATATTTTATCAGACACAAGGCTGAGCAAGAAATGGCTAATAAGAGGCAATAGATAGCCCCGGAAATAAACTATAATTAGGCCCTGGACCTGCAACAGTCCACCCTCTCCATAATCATTTAAATCATGATAAAGAGCTAATCAGCCTTGTGGAAGGGTTCCATGTAAGTTGACATTTCATTCCAGAACTTTCATTCACACCCCAGACTGTACCCTGGGTCAGTGAAGACTGTACCATGCGCAGCACCTTAGGACATGTCCTTAGGACATGTCCGGTATTCCCGATGATACTATGTTACAATTGTCTTGCTGGTGGAATTCCCAGCTTACTGAAGGATCTGATCAGTATGGAGCTGGAGACAGTGCAAACACACAAGCGAGCCAGCGGTGAGTCACCCGAGCATTGCTGTGTTAAATGCACTGGTGAGCAGGCAGAAATGAAATCCGTACATTCCTGCTTTCACCGAGTTATTGTATTAGTGGAGGAGAGAGGGGAAAGACCCAGACACACATATATGCAAACTCAATAAAGAAGCCCTTGAGAGCAGAGGATGTCTCCCATGGCTATCATGTTTGCTGGCGGGGGCGGG